AGTTCCCAGTCCCTAGTATCATTTACATTACAGTTTTATTCAGAAACAATTATTTAAATATTTGTTTATAATTATTATGCCCGCTAAAAGTGCCTAAATATGATATGTTGGCGTCACTAGCCATAGTTCTGGGTTTGTACGAGCATAGAATCATAGTTCCCAGTCCCTAGTATCATTTACATTATTACTAGTGACGCTAGCATATTACATTTCAGTGCGTGAAGTGCTTTTAATAATGACTAGAATTTTTTTTATTGTTCTTATGACCAGAACTATTGATATGATGGGTTGAAACGGTAGAACTCTTGGAATACTTGTACTTTATGGCTCATACGTTCGAAATCCGGTGAGATGCTGGAAGGTGAGACGGGAAGTTAGCATCTCATTTCTTAAAATTATTTATTTTTTTGTTTTTTTTGGTCGTTAATTTCGTATAGAACTATTGTGAAAAACTATCTAGAACTGTAGAACTATAGTGTATGCGAGCAGAACTGTTTTTTCATGCGATGTCAAAATATAATATGCTAACTTCACACACGTTAACTAAAGATAGAATAATATATAGCTACAGCGCAAAGTGCATTTTATTTTGCATTTGCGTTTCATGTACCGCAAATTTGTGGCGTAAACCCATGATTTCTGATAACACACATATATGCAATTATATATTTATAAAACTGCTTTTGCTTCTGTATAGTTATTACAATAGTTCTTTACATACAATAGTTCTATACATTGCGGAATATATTACTATCGGGGGCGTTGCAATATAGTACGCAATATACGTTTCAGCGTAGCAAAATTTGGAGGGGCACAAAATTGTAATAGACCCCGATAATTTTTGAAGTGTGTAAAAACCGCGTGGTGGCATGGCGTTTTTTTTTTTGCTTAGCGCTTGGAGCGCCCGAACCACTTCCAGCGTAGGGGCATTTTTGACGGTCGCAACGCCCCCGATCACAATATAATATAACAAAGCTTTAGAGGCTTAGATGAATAATACAATTATATTCCTTAATTTATCTCAAGTAAACTTGAGTAAAATTTAAATTTAAAACTTATTACTCGCTACTTTTACTGAAGTAATATTGATTTTAAATTGGTTAAAGGATTATTAAAAAGACATTCACAAATGTCTCATGAAATTCTTATTTCAGTTCTTTTGATCAGGTCTTTTCTTAAATTGTGCTTCAAAAACAATTGATATTTATTAGATAAAATATTTTGTATGTCATTGTAGTATAAATGTATTTGTATATTTTACAGATAAACCTTCGCGCTTCAAATCGCCATATATAAAGGTTAATGTGCGTAGTAATTATTTTATAAATATTAATTAATTTAAACACTAATCTGCATTTATTTTTTATTTTACAGATCAACTTTGTGCGCGTAATCGGTGCTACAAAATATATTCGTTCCGTCGTATAGTATAACAAAATGCGCGTCGGGAGTGCCGTTAATGCCGAGAGTTATAGCGAATCTATAGATGAACGCATTTTTGCTGTATGACAAATATTGGGACACGATTTTTTTTGACTTTAGGCTTGGCTCGGGGGAGGGAAAGGTCGGTTTCAATCATAAAATCTCCACTACGGCAGGGCAATCTTCGGTTCTACGTGCAGCGCGCTAGTTGTACAGATAGCCGGACTGTCGAAGGTAGTCGAGGACGGCTACCGGAGTTAGTCAAACGCTACCGATTGCTTTTCAGATGCCTTGTATCTAGTCGGTTGATTGGATGACTAATCACCTCATCTTCTTCGAGCTTATCTTTGCCTTCTGTTTTGAGAGAATCGTGCCCCAATTGGTAAATGTGGTCGTCTGAAACGCGGACGGAATCGTAATAACTTCGCAGCTTGGACAATTCGGTTTGATTCGCCTGTGATGTCGGGAGTGCCGTTTTAAGTATCGCGCGATTTTCGTATTCAGGTACGCATGCGAGCAATGCATGCGCCGCGAACGCGTGTGATTCAATGTGAGTGCTTCGAAGGACCACTGAGAGGAGGAGGAGGCTCAGGAG